TCAGAATATTATTTGACATAAAAATTTCTGAGGCATCCAAACTCGGCGTACCAGGTAATAGCATCCCCACTGCTGCAACTGTAAATGCTATCCCGAAAATTTACAGTTTTGACACCCACCCGGCGACTGTAAAATACAGGAAATTGTATAATTTTACCGCGAGACTGCAAATCCTCCAGATTTACAGTTTCGACAAATCAGCCAATAACATGTTATCAATGGATAATTTTGTCCAATCATCGGTGTCATGTAGTTGAAGGAAAGCCAACAATCACTTTCCTTTGAGCAAGTAGATCCTTCAAACGCGCTAGTGGCTCACACTTAATTAAACTCGCCGAGTGCATCGGCAACCCAACCAAAGCACAACCTTCGCTGAGCAGTGAGACAATTTTTCAGGTATAAATGACCGATTTTCCTTACTTGCATCAATCAACACATTAGAATAGTCGTATTCTCAACCGCATCGTTCATGATGAGTCCATATACCTACAGTATAACGGCCTCTTGTCCCCTAAAGCGTGGGTGAGCTTTGCTCCCCATTCTTTAAATCGACTGTGAGACCGAAATACTGTAGTCAGTCCCTACAAATTCGAGCATCTTCAGCCTGGCTATCCAGGGGCAGGGTGGACTGGCGGCCTACTATTGACTACATAGGGCGGGAAGGTGGTCAAGGATGTCACAAGTGAATTCCACGTCATCATTTGTATGGAGCGGTGTTGGACCTCTTGTTTTTTACAGCCTTTAGGTGACGCGCACTATGCAGTACTACGTAGTACTTCGAAGTATGTACCCGCGGGGGTACAGTAGGACGAAGTCCTGGGTTTACATGGTTACGGGAAGAAAATTTGCTTGAACAGTTCTCATATAAGTCTCGGCTGAACGCTATCCAGATTTTCTAAGCGTTTTCCCATAGTTTTTCCTATGTTACATTTGAATCCGACCAGCAAATCGCAATTCAAGTTTGGATAAAGGGGGTATTTTCTGCAGCACTACACGCGGTGCCTTGGGAGAGTGAGTTCTAATCGTGCCCTTCGCCGAATGTCCAATCGATTCCTCTTGTTGGGAAAAGACAGTAGAGGCAGGTAGGCCGCAGGGGTCGGTGGTAAATCCTGTTAAGTGCGTGTCTGAAGCAAATATCAAGAAAATACTTGTCCGAGTCATTATGGCAAGGGAAATAATATTTGTAATTAAAATAATGTTAATCGACAATTAACTACAAAGCATAAATACTCCGGAGTACTATTAAGTCCCATGCGCTGGCAAATTGCGATTATTGATTGTCATGGTTGGGAGATCCTATTAAATAATTTTTGTGATGGACATGCCGCCACCAATAGTATACCTTACCTTTTGAATTAATATACAATTATTATTTCAATACTGGTAATCGATAATTAAACTGCGACAATGTTTAATCTCTGGCAATGCGACAAACATTAATAAAGCTCTCGTCCATTAGGGTTAATTAATTGTCTCTCGAAATGGCTGCAACTTTTTTAGAATTATTTAGACTGCTGTGAATCGATCTAAAATATTATGTTCCCGAACAAGTCGTAGCAATGACGCAACGCACTACATATACACATATACAGATTGTACTATTAATACTGTAGTAGGGAACCCTGAACACCACTCGAGTATACACGTAATAAGCCACGCAGATTTCATAACGACTTGCTAGTTCCTAATAACATAGTGTCTGTTACAGGGTCCCGAGTCGCAAACACTCACCACAGGTGTCCACCCAGGGTCCCGAGTCGCAAACACTCACCACAGGACATCCTTAGGGGTGACACCGTGGGCGGCGGCAACGGCTCGGAAAGCTTGGGTCAGGCTGGTGCGATCAAAGGGTGACAGGTGACGGACAGTCCATGTATAGTGCGTGTCAGACAGTCCAGTTAGTTTTCATTCGTTAGTTTAGTTAGGGCTAGGTTCCCCATTGGCCAGGGGAATACCAGTCAGTTCAGAATTTGCTTCCTCGAGATCAATACACGGCGCCAAGTGTTCCTGGAGTTGCCGCTCCCCCAACATTGTGTTTTGATTTCGTGGATACGCCACAAAGTATACTTTAGTGCTACCGTCCTTTGCGGTAGAGACGTGTCTGGAAGACGCAAGTGAAGAACAAGAAGATCCATAGAGCGACATCGTGGAAGCGAACGTTACGGCGGAGGCCGTTATGGAGGCGACAGCGGCAGAAGCCGTGAGCGAGGCAGAAGCCGTGAACGCGACAGAAGTCGTGACCGTGGCCGCAGCCAAGGTCGAGGAACGACCGCGAACAATCGTTACATGGACCTACCAGTGTGTCCTAACCTCCACTCGATTGCCCAAACC